AACTCCAGCGAGCGAAGCACGCGAGAATTTTTGACATCTTATAGCTTGACCGGTTTTTAGGGAGTATGCGGGTATTATGCTACGTAGTAGACTCTTTTGACAACGTTGCGTTGCCACCCACCTGTAGACGTCTTTCGGTCTTCCGCTTAAATTTTGGAAGCATTACGGGAAACCGCCAAACGAAAGTGCGAGCGAAGCGAGCAAGAATTTTTTTCGACATTTTATGACAAAACGAGCGGTTTTGAGCAAAATTCCTGGACATTTCCGCCAAGGCCCCTGGCCCCGGGCGGGGCCCCGACAAGAACCCGGGTTGTAGGGGCCCCCGATGGCGCGGGGCCCCGGATGCTAGCGCGACCTAGCACCCCTGGCCAGTCCGGGCCTGCCCGCCACCTGCGCCCGCGCGGCCAGGGGAAGTGTCGCGCCCCCGAGTCAGTTGAATAACCGGTTGAATCATTTTTTGAGGGCGGTGACGACCCGACCGGACGGACGGACAGACAGCGAACAAGTCGCACATCCCCCCCCCCCACGCGCGCGGTCCGCGCTGACCGCCACCCAGACGTAATGTTGCATAACGAACGCAAATCCCGTCCCCAACCGGAGGCCTGCTCGTGTGACAAACGGGCGCCGCGACGCTCCCCAGGCCCGGGTCCCGCGGCGTCGCGGCGCCGGAGCGCACTCACCTCCGGGTCCCTGCGACCCGCGCTGGCGTCGCTGACGCATCCGCGGGATACACGTACGGATTATGTCAACAGGGCACTTTTTCACGGCAAACATTTTTCATGTTTGAGTTTTGTGTCTGGAAGAAATGGTGAGCTTCTCCGTTCACCCCTCTCTTTCAGAAACACATTCTTCTGCTGCGATAACCTTACCAACCACTGATGGTAAACAGAGGTCCGCGACGAAGAAGCATCCCACGTGCTAAAAGGTGCGTGGTTTCTGTGCGGCCCGGCCCCGCCCCGCGCAGCTCCGGGTGTCCCCCTTACGGCAGACGTGTCTCACAGCCGTGTCGCACCCTTTGTCTGCCGGCCGGGTGTCTGATGATGCGATGAGAACTCGTGTGTGAGCGGGGTCTCCCTTCCCCCTTCTCCCCTCCTGCCTCCCTCTCACCCCGCAAGCTGCTTGCTGGCTGACTCCGACTACGCCACTGACGCTGAGGTGGACCTTTACTGCTGCCTGCCGCTCTCCCACGGGTGGGCCGCAACCCATCCAGGTCCGGGTGTGTTCTCGGAAACGGGAACTCGGGGGGTGATGATGAGCCCGCACGCACGTTTGCCACCCGGATGCACTTTTAAAAACAACAACAGAAAATTAAGTCGATACCCATCCAGATCAATTCTTAGAAATCGACCATCTACAAAATAAAATTAACGAAATGTGAAAAACATTTGGCCGGGTGCGGTTGGTACGCGTGTGTGTGGGGGGAGTTGTGCTGGCCGTGAAGTTGCCTCGGATGATATTGCGATATACGCGGCGTATCTGTGGTGGAAGCAGCAGAGAAGAACTCCACCGCAGACCCCGCGGGCGGCGGAAACAGAGGGGAGAGCGGCGGATTCTTCTGCTTCTGTAGCGCTAGCTTAAGCGGGCATGTCGGCGCAACATAGTCGTTCCCCCACGACAGGATCTAAGAAAAGGCCCTTGAACATAAGTGTACCGCCCGCGAACCGGCAAAGTGGCACAGCAGTGACACCTCCACCTCGCATCATCATTGTGACTGTGACCGACGTTTCATCCCAGACCTCAGACTAGTCTTGATTTATTTGAAGATTTTATAAGCTATTTCTCTTAGTTATGAGTGGTAGTCAAAGGGGTCATTGCGACAGAATAAAGGTAAGTTTGTTTGAAACATTTTCATTAAAAATAATGTTACTGGTACGCTGGTGCGTTTTGTGCTCTCGCAATAATACCTCTTGCGCTTGGAGGTGAGCGGCGCGGGACAGCCGGACCAGGGCCACACTCTACGGCCTCCTCCAGGCCTCTCCAGACACGATTGGCGCGCGCCGGCCGGCCGAGCGCAGCTTTAGCGCCACCGCTGCAGGCGCCCCTGGACTGGACCGCTCGAGGGGTTCGCGAGTCGTGTTTCGCAACTCGTCTGGCCTGGTGGCGGCGGGTCCATTCTGCCGCTGCTCCCATACATTACAGGCTCCTTCACGCCCGCTGACCGCAGCGGTCTGCTCGCCTCTCGGATCGGATCTGCTAGCTCAGCTCCGCCCGGGGCCCGGGCGCCTGAGGGGTAGGCCGCCCCGTTGCGCACACCTGCACGGCGGCGCTGCCTACCCCAGAACACAGCAGGCGCTGACAAGCTGAGCTCTGTCGGAGGTGGACGTTGACAAGCCGTGGTAATTAAACAGACAGCCGTCCATTTCGGTTCGCGATCCGTTTGGATTTGAAGCGTTACGTCCGTGCGTGCACCCAGAAAAATATTTTCACGGTTCAAGTATATGTGTACTCGGGTTTGCACAGTACAATTTTATTCTTGGAACAATGCAAAATATCATTCAAGTTAGAAAAATTGAATTGTAGAAATAATCTTTTTTCTTGAACTATGTTCTTATTCGTAGATGAGTGATCGTATTGTAATGATATTCTTGCATTGTTTCAAGAGAAAAATTGATCTTGTGAGAACACAAATACAAATTTACTGGAAACAAGATAGGATTTTTCTAGTGTGTCGCATACTTCGGTGGTGGTGGCGAGGCGATTTGCAAAGGGTGTTTTTCAGTAATACGTCTTTTACGAACGTCCGGGTAGCAGAAGTAACAAACAAGATTACACTTTGGTATGGAGAAGGCTCGGGGCGGGACGCCTTGCCGCTCGGCCGTTTTCTGCCGGTCACTCCCCGGCAAAGGCGAGGTACTTGCAGCGGCCCGGTCTCTATACACAGCGGCTACCGCGCTGCGCCCCCCACCCTCCCCCATCAGGACCAACCCCCCCCCCCCCCCCCCTCCCCTTTCCCTTTTCCCACTCGAATGCACACGCAAAAAACAAGGTGTGTCCGAGACGAGAATGAAAGGGTAGCTTAAAGGGTACAAGTCTAAGTCAGCGTCAGCACACACAAAATAAAAACACGGGCGCCCATATATATGTACCATTGTATGGCTAGGCCCGGCGGCCACCATAAATTATGATTAAAGAACAATCATCACCAAATGAGCAAAAACCTGCAAAAAGCATATTTTTGGATTCTACAACCATGAAAACAATATTGTAGCCTTAATCATATTTGATGTTGTCCCTGAACTATTTATACGATGGTTGTCAGAGCTCGTAAACTTTTCTGGGTGCGGCTGGAGAAGCAGCCAGGGAGAAGGTGGCAAGGTGTGGTTTCGACATAGACTTGACAGGGATCTACTTCGGCGCATCTGTTGTTGTTTTTTAGTGTCAGTAAAGGTTGACCCCTGCGAGCCACGCCAGGCACCACCACGTGCATTAGTCAGCGTCAAGTTGCACATGCTGCACTCTGACTGTGTGGGAATAACTCCAACGGGACCCACAAAAACATAAGGGGTAAAACAACTCGGGCGCAATTCCAGGCTGGTGCCCAGCCCATGTTTGATCTTGGCTGCCGCTGTGCTTGATTCCAGTGATTCCAGTGATCGGTCCTTGGCCAGCCAGCACCTTG